GCAAGTGATGGATAGTTAGCAGGAGCTTCGAGTCTTCGTCTAATCTGTTACAGTAAACCTGTGCCAAAGCCTGAAGGGAATCAGTGGGGGCTGGCTAGGAGTGGGTTTGACGTGAAACCATTTGTGAAGACGAGCGATTCTCTTAAGTAAGAAACTAACAGTGTCCAGTGAGGGAGAGGGATAGTTAGAGAGCGAGAGAGACAGGAGGTGAGGAGAATGAGTGAGAGTGCGAGAGAGGGAGAGAAGGAGGAAGAGATACAATAATGAGTCCTGTAGCCATGGAGTAAATGAAGAGGGATTGACAGAGTGAGGGATCCTCAAGTGAAATAATGTCAATGCCACTCTGCCCATTAGAGAGAAAGGGGGATGGTGGAGGAGAGGGTAAAGAGGGATGAATGGAGGGACACAGCTACATCTTACGGTGCAGAGAAGCACATAAATTATTTGTGACACCCTCACAACACACATACCACCAACAAAAATATGAAATATGAAACAACAAAATGAACTGACAATAGCAGCAGGAAAAAATAAAGAAATGAAAACAAAAAAGGCCTTGGAAATACCCAATAAATTCTTTGAGACACGTTGTTGGGATATTTGATGCCGAACAATAATAATCACAGTGACATCTGCCTTGCTGCTCTCGGAGGAGACGGGCAGAGCCCGTGAGTGGAAGGGGTTAATCTTCCAAACCCAATAAGGTTGGATAGTGAGGCACTTGTTCCCCGATAAAGAAGTGATAGGATCTGTGGGTCTGGTCCCTTGGCGCTTGTACAGGGGTAGAGCAAATATTGTTAATGTGCTGTGGTTTACTTCAGCTAAGGCGAGAAAAACAGCTCTGCTTGACGAGAGAAGACAGTGGCAAACATGAATACGATGGGAATGGCCACGGAGCTCAGTTCACCCTCCCAGGGACTTAACTGGCACATATATCCAAGCCCACTCAGTTGCATAAATAAGTGTTCGGGAAGATTAAGATCTATAAGTGTCTCTATTTCTCGTTTTACCTGCTCCGCCTTGTCACAACAGGGATCTGAATGCAGTTCAGTGAAGTGCCTAATAACTGGAGCAGTAGGTAGGGAAGGCAGGAGGCTTGACATTAAGACCCTGGCGTTTTGGAAATCCGATACGCTATTGACCCGTGTACTACTATCTCAGCGTAGAGATCTGGTGTCAGCAGATTGTAGTCTGGTGTTGGGAACCGTTTTCTTACAGGGCTCCTGTAACAGGGGCCCATTGAGTCTGGGAGGCAGCTGGGGCCTGATGGGCTGGAGCTGGGTGGTGATCGATACTCACCGCCCTGCAACGGATGACCTCACTGTCATGGCTGCCGGCTGTGGACACTGCATGCTAGTCATTAGTGCCGGGGCACCAATCAGGAGCTTAGAGTTGTCAATACCTGACTCTTACAGAAACCATGGCCATCTGTCAGTGTATTGTGTAGCAGCCTAAGTAAATATGGGCAAGCTCTTTTGAACAATAAGAACAAGGTGTACTATTAGAGAACGGAAAATATATCCTCATGTAAGCAACTAAAGAAACTGGTGGGTGAAAACACGTTTTAAAAAAAGCTGACTTTTTTTTGTAAGTCATAAAAAAATCCGAAAAAGAAATGGATGAAAAAAATGTGAATGAAATTGACAGGACAGCGAGCCTCCACTGTCGATAGAGCCTTCTTAATAATATAACATTATCCTTATTTGCCCTCTTCACTCAAATCAAAGGAATGGACATTTATGCATGAGTGACATCAACCCGGCAATTAAGTTGGTCATTTAAACGAGAGAGGGCCTTCCTCACCTCGCCTGTTTGTTTTTTTCCCCCCTCTCCCTCTCTTCTTTTTTTCCTATTCCTCTTCTGTTTGATGATGGGAGAGGGTGAGCTAGAATTAGGGCGATGGGTCTTCCTTTGAGTGTCAGCCTAAAATGATCAGAGTAAAGATAAGAGGGTCTAGCAGCCCTCAAATCAGTCAAAGTGCCAAAGTCGGCCTTTTTCTCCTCAATTACCGGGTCTGTGAAGCCAGGGAGTGGAAGGCGCAGAGCCTGCTGCATTACTAAAGAGACAATCTATTTCCCCTTTGACCAGAGGGAGAGAAATCATTATGGCATGATTAGTAGCTTCAGCAGTGGGCGAGCATGGAGGTACTACAGGAGAATCGTATTAATTGCCTTAGACCAAGGCATGAGCAGGATTGTTTTAATGTTGATTTGTGGACCTGTATGACTAGCTGTCGGAGATAAAAGCTGATGTCAGGTCTTAGTTATACTGGCAGACTTCGGGCATGCAGACAGAGAGGGTTGATGTCAGAATGAGCTTCTGTGGCTACACTGAAAGTCTTTCTCTATATGCCTGTCAATGTCTTCCTCTTTGTCTTCCTTCACACTTCGTAGTTTTCCTCTACGCCTCCCTCTTTCCTTCCCTCTACTCCTCTCTTTCTCTCAGATGGACTACACCCCAGCCCACCCCACCCCTTCCCATACACCCTTTCTCTCTCTCGCTCTCCTCCAACTGATAGCTGCCTTGGCCGATTATTTCATCCAGTGCGGTCCACTGAGAGCCTCCTCTCCCGGCTTTGGAAGAGCTTTAATTAGCCATGTTAATATCCCCTTCATTGGCCTTAATATCACTCAACACCTTCCTCCATCTCAGCGGCCACCAGGGTCCCCCTGTCCTGTCAGAACAGCTGATTATTGAGAAGGATAGCTTTAATCAAACCTAATTGCAGTTCATTCTTTCTCTCTATCCCCCTTTGCCCTCCATTGCCAACATCTAATGGCAGCGACGACTTGATATCCCATTAAAAAACAATTAAACAACCTCCTTTTGTCTCTGTGCGTGCCAAAACACCAGCACAAACTTCTGTAGATATTTAAGAAGTAAAAGAGAGAGAGAGGGGCCTTGTCTTAATTGCTCTCCTTTTCACCAAGGACCAATTTGCACTGTGCTCATGGAGAATCTTAACCAACTCAAATGTAATGGATGCTATAGCGCTGCCACTGCTGTGGACTATGAAAATTAAGCTTATCTTTTTAGGAGAGAAATTGTGCTTAATTGCCTTCATAACAGTAAACATAAAGGAGCTACTTTATGATAGCGTGGGCACTCAATTTCTTGTGTTTATTGTTTCTTAACTTTTGGTTTTGCTGTAGTGGGAACAGTATGTAAAAGCATTAAAGTATCCCAGAAAAGAGACAAGACTAACTCTGAAAGTAATGTGTTTCTTTTATGAAGTCAATGCATTGCTTGGGAAATATATTCTATCTCTTGCTTTGACATAAATTGTTTACCAACCGGTGATGGATGTACGTGCGCATGCCTGCACGCACATATGCATGTAGATGTGTGCACACGCGCACACAAATACGCACCACCCGCCTTGCCCAATCTATATGAGAGGCGACAGACAAATAAAAGTCGTATTTCAGGTCTGCTTTCCGCAGATGTCTGCTGCTCTACATTATGGCTCTTTGGGGAAATAAAAACAGGGTCAGGGAATTAGAGTACATAATGGTCATTTTGATGATCAGCCAACAGATGCAACCCGAAAACACAGTGAACACAATCAAGCGAAATGCACTAATGACAAGTCAGGTTTTTTATGGCCTCACCACACACCGACAGGCAATCAGCATTCTGGCATGGGTTAAAACGTCTTTTATTGATGTCCAAGCCAAAGCTTCTTGGATGTGGAGTGAAAATATTTTCTCACCTCTCTTCTCCCTCCTGGGCCCTCCGCGAAGCACAAGGTATAGGAGTCTATCGAAGAACGCTTCTAAATGACCAGTGCATGTGTTAATGTGGCCGGGGTTAGAAGGGTCATTTCAGACTCTGATTTATGGCTTGGCCAGGATCCCACTGGGCGAACGAGAAGTCTTAAGTGTTGTGAAAGCGTCCTCGCAGGCCACACAAGCCACTGTATTTAGCTGAATGAAATGTCCGTGCAATCTATGGTGCAATCTATGGTAATCCAATGAGCCGCTGCAATTCTGTGAGTCAAGTTAGTATTACAATGAAAACCGCAGTATTGCATATAGTAATGCTAGTGCAATGTGATGAAAAATAAATATCACAGCACTGTATTTATAAAGAATCGGAGAAAGCAAAGGCGCAATCAGTCATGATTCTGTGGGGAGAATTTGCAAAAACAACAAGTCGATTTCATTGTTTATTCTGTGTGGTTGTGCGGGATTTTACACAATGGGCTACATCTGAGATAATTTCTCTTATTGGTCTTGTTTTTAGTTTTCCTCTCTTTAACTATTTGATGTCTGTAAAGCCTCATCTGATATAGAACTCTCAGTACGAGGGCTTATCAATAAATTCAGCAAGACCTGAGAAGGCGGCTTACAAACTAAGCAAGCCCAGATCTCACTCAGACGTGACATTTGTTCAGAGACGATTAGCCAGGTTGTAATTTGTGGCATAATTGCCTCACCCACCCACAAGAACATGGGTGTGTGTATGCGTTATGTGTGTGTATGTGTGTCTGTCTGTGCGCGTGTGTGTGTGTGTGGCATACGGTGGTCCCAGGAGTGTCCGCCTAATTGCCTGACAGGACTATAAGTTTTGTGGCGCGCTCTCACCTTGTTAGGTCCTTTATCCCTGATGCTCTTCAAACAAGACCTGGTCACAGGTGGGCCTCATTTGCTTCCCTATTGAACAGGAGAACTTTAATTGCACAGGGGGTGTCCTGGGATTAAAGCGGTGGGTGGAATATCAAGTGACTTCCTATATGTTAGTGGCAGATGGGAGTTGGGAAAGACCCGTGAACTCAGGTGAGAGGATGAGATCACAAACAGCTCTCGATTTTGAAAGAATAATAAAGAGTGCGACTTCTCAAACCGAGATACCGTGATGCTCACACGGTGAATGAATGAATGTGGAAAATGGGTGTGCTTGAGAAATCCTGTTGAAATATTCTGTCACCTCGCCAGCTAAAATTCCAGCTTCAAAAGTATAATTAATATTTTTGCTTTTTCTTTTCTGCTCTCTCACAGATTCTTCCTAAAGTTCTTTCTCAAGTGCAATCAGAACTGTCTGAAGAATGCAGGGAATCCACGAGACATGCGCAGATTCCAGGTGACTGAAATCTATTTCACACATATGCTCTATTTCTGTCCCTGTCTTTCACTGTCTCGCTCTCTTTTTGCAGACACGCACGCTCTCACACACACAGGTGTGCAAATGCACAGCCACAGCTGCTCCACTATACTAAGTCACACTGACACAGATTCACATATGAATACATTTTTATTATTGGCACTGAAGGAGGCAAAAACCAGGCAAAGAGAGAGAGAGAGGGATTTTGTGTCCTGTGTGCTCTTGGACAGAATATTTATTAGGGAATACCATCTGACACAAATAAGGATATAGGATTTAAGAGTGCCATCAATTGTGTCCCTGACAGCTTTCTGAGCCTCTGCACAGAGGGGAGGACGATCCAACCAAATGTAACAACAGTGTTAACTCACGAACTGTCTGGCAGCGGAAACGCATACCTTCTTGCACACGCATATCTGCAAGCACGCCCACAGGCAGACACACACACATAGACATATAGATAGATGGGATACACGCTAGGAACCCTTGCATATATGTTTATCCACATATGCATGTACTTTATGTCAAAACCATGCTTTTAAAAAAAATAAGAAAACATTATTGTAAGCTAACAAAATACTGCCAGTTAAAATACATTTTTACCGTCTCTTAACTCAGTCTTATCTAAAGTGTCAAATAGTTAAGCCTTCAAATGATTGACTCCCTGTTGTTCCATTTGTCTACCTATCCTACTCAGCAGCCCACATCACCACAAGCAGCCCACTAGGTCAAGGTGAGACAGTGAGAGTTTAGTGTGATTTGTCCTATCAGGGTAACGACAGCCTACAGGAGGGCGGCCGTCACTGGCAGCACTGTTTTGTGATAGACACATAAGCCAGCATCCTCCAGGAGGAAGCCCAGATATGAAACAGACAAGACAGGGTGTCCCCTCCTGATGTCACTACCATCAGACCTCCCCTGCCTCTTCAAATCTTCCCTCAGGCTGAATGTGGACTGATGCGTGACAGCCACCAAGGGCTTTCACCTCTCACTCCTATATGTCAAAAGGAATGCAAGAACTTTTTGCATCACTCTTTTTGTGTAACTATATTATTTTCCCAAAACAGAAGATGTTTTTACTTTTTATTATCATCGATTGCCTTTATTCCAGCAGTTAGTATGTCATTTGCCCTAAATAGATTTCCCAGATGTGCCACCGTAGGTGTTTCTCTGGCTAAAGTTGTGTATTCTGCATGCCTTCCACTCTTCTTATTACCCCAAAACCAGCTGGAGGCCAGAAAGGGCCCAATCCATCATCCTCAGCTTGGCCCAGCTCTGAACCTGCTCACAAGAATGGAGCTCTTTCACTTCCCCTTCTCTCCCCTCCTCTCCCTATACCCCCACCTACCCCAAACCAACCAAAAAAAGCACCCCCCTAAATTCCACTGCTACACCGAGGTCACTTACCGGCGAAGCAAACCTGAGAGGGGCTCTCTGTTTCCGGCTCAAAAACACTTTGGCCATTCACATGTGGCTCACTGTTTGGAATGTGGTAGCCAAAAAAACAACAACAAAAATAAGCATTATGAAATATGGAGTATGGCTTGGAATTTGATCCTAGTAAAATGTTTGCTGAGAGATGGGATAGAGCACTGTTCAGTTGCTAATGACTCCAGTAATATTTTAAAAGGGAGGCCTTCCATCCTCAAAGAGATGGACAAGCTGATCAATAATACCGAGCTTCGCCTATGATGACAGTTGGTAGAGTGGGTAAACGGAAATGGTATTTTAGTGATTGAAATGTCAATTAGCTGTACACAAATGCACGACAGTAAAAAGAAAAAAGGAAATGGCAGGGAGGGGAGGTTGATGTAATGTGATCTGTCCAAAGAGGACAACCAATTCATGAGCTTTAGCACCTGGACACAACAAACTATTCATACATCCCTCAGAATGTCCCTAAACCTTTACCAAAATGTACTATTATCACCTTCAAACTTGCTCAATGACATGTTTTGCTTTAATTCCTCTCGCAGGTTGTCGTATCGACGACCGTCAATGTGGACGGCCATGTCTTGGCTGTCTCTGACAACATGTTTGTACACAACAATTCCAAGCATGGGCGAAGGGCTCGCAGACTCGACCCTTCAGAAGGTACGCCTCCTTATCTGGAGAATGGTAGGCACATTTTTACATCTTATAATTTGCTACGCTCCTTTTTCTCATAGTTTCTTTCAGACATCCTCCCATTTTTTTCCTCCCAGATCACACACCTAGTTGCTTCTAGTTGCTTAGAAGCTTTCGTTCCTCCATCACTTTCATTTTTTTTCACTTTTTAAGTTGCTTTTGGCCTCACTCATACCTGCTGTTATGTCTTGATTGGAAGCAACATGCATTAGTCAGTGTTTATCATTTCAGTATCGCCAGCGAAGATGATAATACTCAGACTAATTCACTCTTTTAAAATGTTATACTACTTCCAGTCTCCTTACGCACCTACATTTGTCTTAAAAGCCAATGTGAAACATGATCAAATTGCTGAAGAATTTGGCTGTGAGGTCAATTTCCTGCCACTGGGTTCTGCAGTTTTAGCTGTGAGAGAACTGAAACAGGGGGAGGAAGGAGAAAGACAGAAAAGAGGGGGGAGGTAAGGGGGGTTGCTTGTGTGTGTGTGTGTGTGTGTGTGTGTGTGTGTGTGTGTGTGTGTGTGTGTGTGTGTGTGTGTGAAACAGAGAGAAAGAGAGAGAAGGAGAGAAGGGGTGTGGGGGGTGGCCTATGAGAAAAACAGAACTTACTGTTTTTCTTCCAACTGATTCCATATGATAGACTGATTGCCTTCTCAGCCAAAAGAGAGAAAAGTAGGACCACCAAACCATGGGAAATCCAAAAAGTAAAATGCACTAAACATAACCTTCTGACCCTTGTGGCCTCCGCTTGCAGATGGGAGCACACACAGCTGAAAGACTGCAAGGAAAAGAAAGAAAGAAAAGTTAACTGACTTAGCCCAATTGTGCAAATTGCTTATTTTCAGATTTCAAGGGCCAATTATGGCTGGGCAAACAGTTTATATACACCACTGACTAAAACAAGCTTCTCTACACATTAATGGGCATTAATGGTTCTATCACCAAAAGCAAATGTAATGTTTAATACAACAACGACTAATACAAAAAAAAAAAGAAAAAAAAAAAGACCAGACAATTAATATATCTCAGTGCTCTCCAGTCCTAGTGGGGGAAAAGCTAATCTATTTGTTTTTGTCTTTATTAATGACTCCTCTACTGGAGAACAAAATCAAATAATTAAAGTCCTGCCCGGAGCACCAAAGTCATTATGTTCGCTGACGTTCTGTTTGTGTGTTTCACGTTTATGACACGATAGGTGTGGATCGCCTAGCAACCAGTTTCTTAATGAGGAGAGCAATTAAAGAGGTTGAGCCCTCGCCTCCATGTTCCCCCGCTCCCATGGGACCCCCTGCGTTGTGTGTGTGTGTGCGTGTGTGCACGCTCGTGTTCTTTACAGGTTACCCTAACCCATCCTTTTTTATTCTACCCTTCACCACACTCTTCAAAGCAGCAGAGTGACGCCCCGTAAAGCAAGAAAAGAAGCCATTGTCAACCGCCCAGTTGAACATGTCTTTGTCTAATAACTTTAATACACCTTCCCTCTGCTTAACTGTGTGTGCTCACACAAGTTGAGATTTGTTTTTTCTCTTTTTTCCCCCCTCCCTCCCTCTTAGGCTCGGCTCCATAACAAACTAATTTAACATGCATCAACTGCGATTGCTCACTTTGTTTGTGTCACCTTTAACAAACAGAAATGTGACACATGAGAAAAGGAGAGCCGGTCATAAAATGTAATTCCAGCCATGTCCTCCACACTGCTTTGACAACTAGCAGGCAGACAGCATGCTTTAAATTAGCAACACATTCTTCCTTGGGAGTTCACTGGGCGAGAAGCCTTAGATATGTGACTGGCTGACTGACTGTGTGGCTGAAACACAGAGGCATCCTTCCTCTCGGCTCACACCGCACTTGCACGACTGCCTCGCATTGATCAAGAAGTGCTGCCCCCTGTTGGCACAGAGGGGCCACAGCCTGTGGATGACAGACTGAATCTCGCCATGTGACATTTTTGTTCACTTGTGTGTACTGTCACACAACAAGCATATTATGCATTCAGACATGGATGTTCTTTGTGGCTGCCTGTCACTCAAACATGTATAGATTCAGGCTCAAAGGTGCATAAACATGCTCACAAATAGCTGAGTCTTTCACACAGAGCACCCCCCCCCCCCACACACACACACAGACACACACGAACAACCAGCACTGACACACACAGAATTTCTCTCTCTCTCTCTCTTTCTCACTTACTCAGACACACTCGCGCACACACACGTTCCTTAGCTCAGTTCCACCATTATAGAGCCCCAGACAATATAGGAGACTCAGCATAGAGCCTGCAGCGCCTGCCTCATTTGCATGCCAAGTGGCTGTAATGCTGTTAGGGTTTATGCAATAAAGACAAGTGAATCCAGACTGCTGGGCCTAAGAGGAAGAAAGAGAAGGAGAAAAGAAGGGGGGAAAAAGGAGAGGAGGAAAGGAGAAAGAGAAGGAGAGAGTATGAGAGAGAGAGGCTGAGAGTGAGCGAGAGAGAAAGAGAGAGAGAGAGAGTCAAAGGGAACAGATGGCCCAGGGAGAGGTAAAAGGTATAATCCCATCAGCTGCACTATCAACCGACCATCTGGACATCCCACAGCACAATTACAACACATTTCAGCAGGCAGAACAAAGGACGGCTTCACGGGGCCACATCAGACCTGTTTGAGTGTCACAATACTAGAGCTAGGACCTCCTCCGCTCAGATCTTGGATCCGTTTTGACGTCCTCCGCGGCTAACCCTAACCAGAAACGACAAAGATTAGAGCAGATCCCAGATCAGCACCCCGCGATCAATTCACAGCGAAGGCGATCTTGGAAAAAAAAAAGTCAAGCAAACAAACAAAAATGGACAAGGGTAACGTTTTAGCAAACAGAGAGAGAGAGACAAAAGAGCCCCCAAAACAAGCCATGACATATGAATTCAAATTCAGTGAATTTCCTCAGCTGTAGCCCAAAGTTTGCAAAAGACTTAGTGGTGCAACACTCAGAGCGGCAGGGCGGCTCTTTGCATCCTCATCCGTCCACTCCTCATGATGCCTATCATCTGCTGAGGGGGCATTGTGCGTGTCTGTCATCAGATCGCCTGCGCTGACTGTGTAATCCACTTCGCCACGGTCCCCATTCAGCACATGCTTCCCTCTCTGTCTGTGCATTGAGACATATGCAAATTTTTAGGCAGAAGGGTGGACGGCTTAGGGCCTCAGTCGCTGCCTCACCATGGGTCCTTCTGCGTGTGGGAGGGGGCACTGGGATTTCCGAGGTAGTGCGTCTGCGTGTGTGTGGTTTTGTGTGCGTGCGTGCGTGCGTGATTGTGTGTGCGTGTCGCAGGTTCCAGGCTGCAGCTGCCCCCCAACAGTCACCGTCACCATCAGGCCCTCTTCTTGCCTCCTCCTCCTTCCTGCCCCCCTCGCTCTCTCATCCCCAAAGTCAATTTGTTTACAGTAATTTTGAAGGGTGAATTATTTGCTGTAATCGTCCGCACTGATGAAGGTCAGGCCCTTAGAGGGGGCCCAGCATGCCCATAGAGGGTTGGTCCTCTTTCAGACGCTCTGCTTCGCAATTAAGGAAAGCAAATGTCACTCCTCCAGGCCTCACAAATGAAAATCTGTACGAGGTGATTAGCATGAAGTCAACAGCGCCTGTTAAAGTCAGATTCCCTGTAGTACCAATGTGTGTGTGTGCACTTTATGGGCACGGAGAGAGAGCAAACATGACCTGAACAGACCCAACAGCAAGGCAAACAAAGGGAGATGTCTTGTCTGAGGTGATCCATACAACAATGGCTGACTGTGATTTACTTACTGGATGGAAAGGATAATAGAGGTTTAGAAGTGAGCTTGTAAAGGGGAGAGAAAAAAAAGGAACTTGCAAAATAGTTGCTCGTATTTTGAGGAAAAGGGAAAACATGCACAATTCATAGTGTGTTAAAAGATATTGATGGAAATAGATTAAATTTGATATTGCTATTTTATGGCTAGCTGTCATGCTATTTCTGTTGTAAACACAGTGTTGTGCTGAGCACCATATTAAGGTAATGCATCAAATGACAGTGAATGTGAGGCACCAGATCACTCAAATTAGATTATAATAACAACCCAGACTGTTGATGAATGGCAGAGCTACGTAGCAGAAGTCATGCCAGATGAAAAGCATTGTAATAAACAATATGAAATGGATTGAATCGATCACAAAAAGAGAAAAAAAAAAACCACAATCTGAATAATTCATGAGTGCATTTCACGTTATGAAACCTGAAACTACGCTCACCGCCTGCACTGTACTGCACATGAAGAACAAAGGTAATGAAATAACATGAACCAGCAAAGCTTTAGCTTGTCATTTCCACTTTAACAGCCTGTATTCTTGACTCATTTAAGATGTGTTCAACTTTGAAATTTTACTGTACATGCGGGTGCATGCTTAATCAATTCTGATAGCTACATTTGCCCTGACACATAATTTGCTCCATCAAATCATTTTCCTGGTGAGCCTGGCGTTTAGCCTTTGTGAAGTGGACCATTTGAAGGGTCTGCTTAACTACATCTCTCCAGCGCACTGATAAATGATTTTGATTCTCGTGCCTTAAAGGACAAATCCATCATTTTTTTTCCAGGGGCAATTTCCATGATATGTCTTTTGTGAGAGAGATATGGAGGGCTCAACGTAGAGGTGGCGCAGTAATGTGTCTGAGTGGAAGGAGACGTGAGGCCTAGTGCTGAAGCTTAGGTGCTGAATTTGCTCTTCTCTTTGTCTTGGATAAGCAGCCACCCCATGCATCAAGGCTATCAGTCCCAGTGAGGGATGGACCACTGGAGGTGCCACTGTCATCCTCATAGGGGACAACTTCTTCGATGGCCTACAAGTTGTGTTCGGCACCATGCTTGTATGGAGTGAGGTACGATGTAGAATTTCACATTTTATACTCAATTGAAACCCATCCACAATATTAGAATAATAATTATTAAGACAAACTTTCTAGCAAGTAATGACCGCTTATACCCCTTTTTTCTTTTGCTTTTTTTAAATCTCTGTGATCCAGCTCATAACTCCCCACGCCATCCGCGTCCAGACTCCACCTCGGCACATTCCCGGTGTTGTGGAAGTAACGCTGTCCTACAAGTCCAAGCAGTTCTGCAAAGGCGCCCCTGGAAGATTCGTCTATACCGGTGAGTCAAAACTTCCTCCACCCTGCTCTCCCTTTTTCTACAGGCTTATTCATGTACCCCCGCTTTTCCCCCTTCCTTCTGGATGGAGCCCCCAGCCTTAAGTCCAGGCACTAATAATGAACTAACCGTCCGACTTGCTGAATGTTGAATGTGTGAGATTTGCACTGCTCGTGAAAAGCTGTTGTGGAGGGGGGCGACTACAAGTGCAACTCGATCCCTCTCTGACCTGCCACCATACAAGGTCGTTGCCAAGCTCTGTTAGAATCAAGCTGTCAGGAAAGTTATTTCTGCCAGTTCTCTTTATCTGTTATTTAGTGAGACAGATAATGCTTTCTGCTAATGAGCCAATTTTTTATAAGCCAAAATGTGATTTCTTTTTTTTTTTCTTACAATAAATCAGATTAGAAAAGCCATATCTACTGTAGGTTAAGTGCACACATATATCTGGTTATTCTCATGTATGCTGAACATGAATTCATAGGAGAGAATTAACGGCAAAGAGGGAGAGATATGTACGTGACAGAGAAGGGGAGTGTGTGTGTCACACTCTAAGTAAAGGATCTGATTATCTTGGCTAACAGAAGGAAGTGGTGGTCTTATCTGTCATCATTGGTGAGGAGACAGAGGTTCTGGGGGTCAGAGCCTGTCTGACCTGGAAGCCTCTGACTGTTCCAACTCTGATGGGCAGAATGAAATGGGGGTGCGTCAAGGCACTCACACTTCCCCCTGCACTCCCAAGCCTCCAAGCACAACCCTGGCCTTGCTACGCTCAAGGCCAGGGTTGTGCAGCCCCCCCCAACTCCCTCACCCAAAATCCCATCCAGACCCCTCCATCCTGGGGCAGCTGTTTCTCATCAAGTCCCCCCTCCCACTTCTAAAATCTCCAGCACCACCACCTCCACCACCACCCCCAACCACCCGTCCCCTTCTCCTCCAACCATGCAGTCTGGCCCAGCTCTCCTGCATTTAACCTCCCTAGCAGGAGCAGAGCAGAGGCCAACAAGGCACTGGGATAATGAAACAGGAGTGTAGTGTGGCTGCGTAAGTGTATGTGTGTATTTGTATGAGAGTGAGTGAGGGGGAAATGTGTGTGTATGTGTGTACATGTGTTACTGTGCAGCCCTGAGAAGGTGTATAAGTTAAGACATTAATGGCTTCTATAGCACCCTAGTGAAAGTGCCAGGTCCCTTAAGAACAGACCCCATTAGTCACAGAGGCTAAGCGGATTGGGATGATTACCATCAGGTTTTACTGGGGAAACGTGTCCCCTTCTCCCTATCTTTGTTGTTTTTTTTCCCACCATTCTTCTTCTCTGTCTTCCCTGGGTTCCTACTCACTTCCAGTTAGTATAAAGATACAATTACCCCTCGAGGCAACGGTGGTACAATTGATTAGTGTGGTGAATTAAAAGAGAAAGTCACCAATAGACAGGTCTGGCTCCTCTGCTCTGCTATTCCCTATGTGGCTTACCCTGATTGTACAGGGGTTGACGCTTGAGAGAACGAAACCGTTATAAGAGCAGAATGCATAACGCTAGAAAAAGATATCACTGCTTCCACACGTACAGTAGGTAAAAGGATGTTAGCTACATCTCTCGGACATTAAAATGACAATTGGCTGATGCATTGAGTGTAAGAGAGCAGATATTGTATTTAAGAATGAAACTCATTTCCAGCTATAGCTTTTCTTTCTGTTTCTGACTCTTGAGCAAATGGCACTTCATTTGCAAATAGATTTGGAGTTATAATAGCACATTACATGGGCTGAAAAGGGCATGTAGAGACACAGTGCTGTCTAAAAGGCACAGAAAGGCACGGTGTCATATTGGAGAGCACCGTGTGCATATCAAAGGTCTAGTTATCAAAGCATATGGCTTCAAGCATGACTTGAGAGCACGGCTTGAGAGGAGTGCCTTTTTAGACTTTTTTTTTATGTTGACTCTTCTTGCACCACCACCCTAATTGTGGAAATTTAACTCGCTCAATTTAAGAAATTATCACAAATTACCAAGAGTCAACACAGAGGAGACTGCAGTCAATTCGAACAGCAGAGGGACATGTCCTCACTCGGGTTAGCACCCTGGAACGGCTCCAAAACTCACAATCCATTCTCAGAAAGAGAGCACGGTGTAGTATATGTCAAATAATCCTGTTGGCATCGACTCTTGAATGTTTAAAACACTAATGAGACAAACAGACATACTATATAAAACTTGAGAAGCCTGCAGTTTACCGACTGCTTTAAATAGCTTATATCCGTTCTTTAAGTGGCACATTTTTAAAGGAATGACTTGTTGCCTATTTTGATGTTTTACAGTCTATACCTTTTACCTTCTAAAAAGCTTGTCGTCCCTTGGAGCTTGCTGATTTGTCCTCTGTCTAATCCATATATTAGTTATCTATTGGTCAGGACAGGACTGGTAGAACCAGCTGTCAGCAAGGTTGTAGAAAATCAAAAGGAGAAAGTCCTGGCTGTATCTGAGTCAATACTGTATTATACTTTTCACTTTATTAAACCCTAAAACCTGTACGTGCGGGCCAGATTAAATATTTCTAAACCAAAAGGTCTCAATTTTCTGGCCTCATTTGCAGCATTTTCACCTTTTTATTGCATACTTACATAAGTGTATGAAAGAGTAAATCATAAATAAAAACTTGAGTGTACAATTCATCCAATTTAAGCTCCTAATTGCATCAGAGCTTTTGGTTTTCTATCTTGGCCAAGTTTCCACGAGTGCTCCCCTCCAGGGGCAACGATGCGGGCTCTTGGTAATATGGTTCTGCAAGCAGTCCTAACACACTCAGCCACTATTTATCCTAATCAGTGACATCCACATAACCAGGATTGCTTAAAATGAACCCCTTCCGCGCCCCAGAAAACGCACATTTACCGGGACCTCATTTGTCATGGGTAAATTGAGGGTCAGTAAACTTCGCCTGTATCCTCCAGTGGGGATCCAGGACATGCATCATAACGTTAGGAGAGAATGATTGGCGAAGGCGAGCTGTCACACATTTGTCAGGGGGAAGGGAACATTATTTGCTAATTTCCCAAGCTGGGCACTGACAGGGTGCTTCGTCTTCAGACCTTTGGTGACCAGCATGGCTTCGCAGCTATTAGTACAAGTCAAGTGTTTTTTCTTTTTCTTTTTTCTCCCTTCACTGTAAAGCGGCAGTAATAAGAGCCATTCGTTCGACCTCACAAGACTGCAGCACACACTGGGTGAAGGATTTTTGGATGAAGCGGATGCCCCCATACAGTGTTCTGTTCTTGCCAGGCCTTAGTTGTGGCCAGACAGCCTTGAGGGCTGATGGATCACAAACTTTCCTCGTCAAGGTGACGCTATCGACTCCACTGCACCAAAATCTGACAAAATGGGTATGAGGCAGTCATTCATCAACATAAGGACAAAGGGGTCATGTGTGCTTCACTCAATACTGGTGGAGCTCAAGAAATGTCAACCTTGTAAGGGATGGAAAAGGGAGATGTTGATAGTGCAGAAGTAAGGGTTCTTTGTAAATACACTTCCACTAAAGCTTCCTGCTTTATGAAAGTCAAACTATTTAATGCCAGTCTCCAACATGTATGCACCCACACTGAGCTGACAACCTCTATGCACAAATCAGAGATATAAATAGTGAAGTCCACTTCTCAAATCCAAAATTAAACCCACTTAATGTTCTGCTCTTAGAAAGAGGAACACAGTGTTACAGCGGTGGACCCTACTCTCCCTAAAAAAAAGGGAAAAATTAAACAAACAAATGCAGCCGTCTTTATCAAAGCACATCAGATAGGGTCCTGTGCTGACCAGCTCGTGAATTGTCCCTATCCTTGCGTCTCCTCTCCGCCCTGCCGTCACTTTGAAGTTCCAGACTTAGAAGCTGATCAGATGAGGTGCTTCCTTTTCATTTCCTGTCCTGATGGGTTGGGTTTGGTACTCGGTTGGTTGCTGGTCAGCGACGGGGTGTGGCCTACAGCAAAGATATGCTATAATCAAAGGCATTCAAGGAGGTATGTAAACAGATCTGCTTTTGAGGAGCTCTTTGAAACACACACGCCAAATGACTTCATATTTCCGCACCCTTTAAAGCCACTCCGCACAACATTTGTGATATTTCTAAAAAAGGCTGATTTAAAGGAGGAAAAAGAAAATCCCCCTGCAGTATGAACTGCTACAATGAGAAAAGATGACATAGGCATTTATAAATGTCACTGCCACAGTCACGTGGGTTGTAACCAGTTGGCACAACAGTTTTAGCATGTGTCAAAGCATGTTATCCACTAGCCATATCCCCATACCTACCTGTCTCATTACAACTCTGGTATTTAGCACCAGCTCCACGGGAGTGGAGCAGACACTCATTGCCAAGTTAGATGGGCCTGGTTTGAAGGCCTTGTGAGCTTGTGTGGAGCACGACAAGGTTCCACGGAGGAAGGTCCTTGTGTCCAATTAGAGGGCTGACGTGACACGTGCTCGCACTCCCCCACTGTCAGGCAGCTTGTCAGGTAGGCTTTGAGAAGCATACTGTGGCATTATTCCACAGCGTGTTATCAGCAAGTGACCTGTGAAATCCAGCTCCAGGAAATTGATTGAAATAAGCACTTGCAGTTGAGCATGTATTTTCCCCCATTACATCTCTCTGTGAAATGCATTGTGGTTATCTTTCATGAGAAAAATGAAAGCATAGGTGCGTGCTTTTTTTCCTCCCAGTAAGGATGGTATTCATTGATTTAATTTTAATTGGACCCACTTTTTGTCCCACAGTATCGTTAGAGGTCTGTTTTGTAATAGCTCTTAAAATGGATTGTCCTCACGAAGTCACAGCATCAGTCCTCTGCCACGGGAAAGATAGACACAGGAGGCAGGGAGGGGGGCTCTTGATAGACGAGGATCTTTCCCTCCTCCTCTTTTTTTCTCTACCTCCTCTTCTTGCCCCATTTTCAGTATGATCTGCACCCAACGGGCTTTAAAAGAACTCCAGCCTCCCGCCCCCTCCTCT